AGCTTTACCAATGACTACGGCGACGCCGAGGACGATGCCTTGTAAAATGGATTTATAGATATTTTACCTTTGAATGTCGCAACTGTGTAGGTCTGTTCAGTACGCCTATCGGTCTAAAACCTTGCTCAGGCTAAATATGAAATGACAGCTTTTCATTCCAAAGGAAGATACGAAAAGTTAGCCATTGCGGATCACAATCTCCAAAATTAATGGAACTTGGTCATTTCACGTTACTGTTTTTCAGATGACGGGTATGAAATGTGCCAAGATTCGTGCAGAACCGTTGCTTTGCTCATTAAACCTTTTGTTTTGTGACGTTCTCGTTGGCGTCGCCGTCATGGTTTGCTAAAGCTAGTCAGATGGCTGCGACGGTGCTACAACCAAGGGGAACAAAAAAATAGTTTACCGAGTAAACTTCTTGTTGTCTTAAAATGACCGACTCACGCAAACGCCCCGTTACCGTGAAAACGCTTTGTTTGCAGCTGCTTATTTTGATATTTTTCTCTTAATACTTTCCTCTTCAATCGTTTTTTTTCGCTTATCCATCCCTGGGATTGACAATTGACTAGGTGCCTAAATGCTACGGCTAAGGATACACTGACACGTTGCTTATGTGCAGACATCGCCGCCCTCGATCTGAGATTAGCAAGGCTACGAATTTTCATCAAACTGGCAATACACTTTCATAGCGACTTTGAAGGAATTTGTGAATACATAGCGGTACATGCACCCGGTCTATCACTATTGTCAGCCTGGAAGTGAAAGAATCGAAGGCCCTACAAATAAGACAGACATGTTTTGCAAAATCGATCGAGAAATGATTAACATTAAAGCCCAAATTAGAAAGGATCTTTCTCATAGTCATCCGTCCTTTACATCCAATAATTTCCACCACATTAACTTACCGTTGGAAGGCAACTTCACGGTTTTCAAGGTAGTGCTGAAATACAACGTACCGAATGACTTCTCCGTGTGATAAGCCGTTCCAAATTTTCTTTATGTTAAAAAGTGCAGATCGTTCTTTAAGACAACCGACGGCGAATCAAGCGTTTCGAGTTGAGTAAACATCCCGTCTTTCTAGGAATCGGACTTATCGTTACATAGTCAAAACTGCTGCTAATAGCATGCAATAGAGTTGCGTTCATAGCCGTATACAATTGCTCTGTTATTTTAGGAGTAAAAAGGGAAAGCTCACCACAGTCTGCAAATAAAGTGCAAAGGCATTTTTTGACCAGCCGAAAAGGAATCAATAATAAAAAAAAAGCATGTATGCAGGCTTACAAAATATGATACATTTTACACGGGTCAAACCGCAAACCGATAAGCAGGAATAACGCTTAGAAAAAATTCATATATTCGGGATAGCCGGCATCTCGACCGAATGTAATCGAGTTAAGAGTTTTGAAAAGATCTCCAAACATTCTTCTTTTCTAAGAAGAAGAAGAAGAAGAAGAAGAAGAAGAAGAAGAAGAAGAGATGTTACTATGGCGCGATATACATTTTTGGGTTTCCAAGGAAACCAAAAGAAACCTTTTGCACTATTCGGAAACAGTCTGTCCTTCAATACATTATGCTCAATACACTCTTCTTAGGGGCTGCAGACATACTCACGTTCCCGCTTAAGGTAGCTCCATAAGATAACCCTTTAAACAGGACGGAAAGCGGTTGGAAGATGAAGAGACGGGCCGTGCAAGTCATGCGTGATGCCAAGTAGGACTGGCACAAGCAATTTTTCTGCGCTTCCGGTCCGCAGTTACTGGCGTTTCTCTCAAGAAACTGGAATCAAGTTTTCTCTCTTTCGATTTGAGTGCTGAACAGTTCTGTCCCACGAGTTTATGTAACAAGAAGGAAAAACGTCTTCGGGAGCTTCACGGGTCAATTTTTACGGCCAAAATAGGTTCGGGACCCCTTGTTTTGGTCTTCAGTTTTTTTTTTTTAATCAGTAAAAATCCGATTAAATGGAACAAGCGGAGATGGAAAGTTTTCTACAGCCATTTCTAGAACTTAAATCCAAACTTTTCAAACAAAGACATCTTTTGTGTTTGTGCGGCT